CATATCCTCCTTTTAGCGATGGAAAATAAAGAGGTAAAGTCAGTTGTAGCTAAGGGAGGTTTCTGGCATAGAAATGAGTCTCTTGTCACCTACATGTTTGTCTCTGCTCTGGCTGTGGGTAGGGACCATGGTTGTCTGCCAATGTCCTGATGTTTCCATGAGGGAGAGGCAGATGCGTTTAAGCAGGACCTGGGGGTTGTGCCAGGTCCTGTCTGTCGGTGGCTCCATCCGCTGCCACTTCCATGGGTTTTTGGGTTTTTTTGCTGGTGGCTGAACCATGACAGAGTAATGCTGTGTTGAAGCTCAGGTATGTCAGTGCTCTGTCAGCTGTCCCAGTGCAGCCGTCCCTTTTCCAGCAAAGGATCTCAAAGGAAGGGAAAACAGCGGTGGTTATAAGGCAAGCAGTAAAACCCCTTTGCACTACACAGCAGCCGTATTGTTTACAACAGAAACAGCTACTGAACTGTATCACTGGGGTATTTGCATTCAAAGCACAAGGAAAGCACACATGTTTGACCTTTTTGCTGTTCATTAATTTCTTAGGCAGCGTATTGTTTACAACAGAAACAGTTACTGAACTGTATCGCTGGGGTATCTGCATTCAAAGCACAAGGAAAGCACACGTTTGACCTTTTTGCTGTTCATTAATTTCTTAAACGACGCTAACTTTGTGCAATAAATTTGCTTCCACTAACGTTTTTTAAAAAGGGGCTACTGTTCAACGTGGAAACGCTCTGAATTTTAAGAACTTCAGTGTATCTCAAATGTCAAAACGAGCTTTGATGTTCTGTGTAGCTTCTTGCATGATAATACTGAGATTTGGAGGACTTTTAAATCAAGTCGGAGCAGGTAGTGCTGGGTCAGCAGCTGGCTTAAGAAAAGCCCTGATGTTCAGGTCTGGGTGCCTCAAAGAGATTTGGGTAGAAATGTGACAAAAAGGGTTTATGTGCTTTTTAATTATCTTGTGTTCTTCTAATTTTTAAGACTAGATTCTGATACAGTTACCTGAGCTAACAGCATTTTATTCCACAAAAATAGCGTAATTGATTTGCAAGTGCTATGCAGTGCAAGACAGCCAGATGGATAACAGAGAAACCTACCCAGGCTTCATCCGCGGGAGATGAAAGAGAATGGGACCAGTATTGATCCCATTTAAGCCACTGGAGCTTTGCCATTGACTTCAGAGCGAGCAGGACTCAACCCATTCTTTTCAGGAGGCTGCAAGTTAATTACTGACAGTATAAGTGGCACGGCTATCGCTTTTCAAACTGGTTAGCATCCCTGGACAATTACAACCTGGGACTATTAGGGTATCCCACAGTGCAATAGAAGGTTAGCAACACCAACCAGGCCTAATGGCCTCGGCGGTGCTTTGGGATTTAAGGTCGCTGCACCAGCAGACGGGCTCCAGTGCCGGTAGTGCATTGTAAAAGTAGAGGCTGTCGCCATCTCTGGGGGCGCCTTGGCCAGGATCGGCGTGCGGCGAGGGCATCGCTAGCTAATGTTGACCAACTAACTCATTCTGCATCATTGAGGCTGTGATTTTTTTTGTTTTTACACCTTCATCTACCACTTCTGGTGCTGGCCATTGACAGGGACAGGGTGGTATAAGAAACCTGGGGCTGGATCTAGTCCACTCATTCCTTTCCCCGTCCCCAGTTACATGTTATAAAATACCCTTTCTGCTCAAGCCAAAGCTGCCCCAGCTGCAGTAGAGACTCACCAGGGGCCAGGAGCACTAAAAAAACCCTTTGGAAAGCAGCTGGGCATCACACCCTAAAAGGCCAAAGTCTCATTTCCCAGTGGTGAAAGCAATTCCTTGACGGGGAGGAAGGAGGAGGTGGTAGGCAGCCCTTGGCAGCTGATGGACGTACGCTCGCTTGGTCTCTTGGACGCGTGAGTTTCTCAAAATGCCCTAACCGCTTTGGTGAGAGAATAATTGTAAGAGAAGGCAGCAATCCCGTAACGAATTCTGTTAAAGCCCAGCGTGCCACAGACTGCTGCAAAGCGGGAAGCTGAGAGTTATCCCCGGCTCTTCATCTCCATCCCTGGCTCTTCCTTTTCTTTTAACCCTTCCTTCTCAATAACTTCATTTAGCAATGCCATTACTCTAACTACCGTTCCTCTTACGTTTTTTGTTGCAAAGTCCATGTAGTTTGCCATGTGTTCTGTTAAAAAAAAAACAAAAAGAGCAGAAAAGCAAAGCTTTCCTCACCCATCTGTAAAACGCCAGCAGCCCCGCGATGAGCAGAGTCATACTCTTACAAAGCACTGTTGCAAAGGATGGACGGCAAAACATTTTTAGCAAGGAAATGGATTTCGGTTTCAACTGCCAGGGGTTATTATAACTAACAGTAAGTAAAGCCATTCGTTTTAAGACTTTGGAAGTGACGTTGACAGTGCCTGTCTTTTCAAGCATGACCGTTACCAGCTTTAGATTTCTCTTAAATTTCCAGGCGTTATTTCTGGATTTATGTTGCACACTGAACATTTTATATAATGGCATTGGAAAACATTTTAAATGTGATTTATTTATTTTATTTTATTTTATTTTTTAAATAAAGATGTAGTCTATTGGATGTTGTGCATAAAATAATTTTTCTGTCTAAAATGTCAATATTTTTAACCTGAAATAAACCATGTAACAAATTCATGTATTCTGGGCAGTGGAAATTATTTCCGTTAACTCTCTTTTCTGCATATCATCAATTTGCTTTTTACTCATGTTTCTCCTACTGTCGCTGTAAGCTTACTTGTTGTTTTTTCTTTCCTTTTCTTCATGCTGTCGTTTAGAGCCCTACAGAGAGACAAGTATGGGAGTAAAGCTAAACATTGCATATCAAATGTAATTTTTTTTAGTTCACTTTTATTGCATCACATATAGATGATGTAGTTAATGAAGGAAATTCATCTCACAGTTTTGAAATCGAAAAGAATATGAATCTACATATGTATATATACGTGTATGCGTGTGTATGTGTGTGTGTGTATATATATATGTGTGCCTACATATATATATAGATGAGATTAGATGATCCTTCCTTTGTTTATCCCCTGTTTTTGTGGTATCGTTTACCCAGCGTAGTTTCCCATATAACTGTGCGTTGGTTTATTTTTTTAAACTGCACTTCTTTATTTGCGAGTTCATAGCATTTTTATACGTCGTGTTTCATTGCAGACCCCACTCTGTTTTCACCTGCGATGCCTCCATGTTATTTCCCCCTCGCCCCCCGGGCTCTATGCATTGGCAGGAGCAGCACTCAGCGCCTCAATGCATACGTTACTCGACGTGACCATCAGACAGACGCTGTTGTGCCCGTCACCCATTGCATACGGTCCTTCCCCCTTGCCCCCTGAAATGCTCACTTTTCATTTTCCCCCCAAGCATCGTGACTCGGTTGGAAAGCTTCCAACGTGAAAATCAACGGCTTTGCTCTATGTCTGTGATGGCTAGTTGATTTCTTTTGGCATAGCTCCCTCGTTTGTTGAGAAACCTGGGATACGGCAGCACCCTCTAAGCTTCAGAATCCTAAAAGGTGACCGACACATTTGGGGCATTTCACTCAAAAAGCAAGAAGAAAAGCCTGCAGTAGCTCTTTCCAGCCCTTGACATGCAGCAACTACTCCATCGCAGATATAGACCGAATCCTGTATTTTCGGAAGGTACACGTGCCATGTACCAAGCATTGTATGAGCAACCGTTCATCTTAAATTCTCAGCTAATGGCTCCTCTAACCCACCACGGCTTGCTGGGAGGAGCTTGCCATTTTTTGGCAACACTCGAAGCCCTTAGCTGAAAGGTCGAGACGTTATGTCTTGCATCCCCGCGTCCGTGCTCTCAAATAGGAAAGCATGGTGGCTTAACCTCCCAGATTTTCTCCTCCCTCGCCCACTCGTGCCACATTGCTCCCAAAACGCTTCTCCATCATCTCCCATAGCGTGTTGGGAAAGAGCCGAGCTCCAGCTTTATGCTGCCGGTGTCGGCACACCTATGGAGATGAGATAGGCAGTTGGGGGCCATCCCCAAGACCCTATTGCTCCTCACAGGTTCCCCCAAGCCCAACATATCGTGGCAGCGGTTGTACTTGCCATAACTGCCTTAAGCCCTCCACTTTAACTTTGCAAGGGAAACGGGAGCTCTTTTTAAAGGCTTCCTAAGATCTGCAGCTGCCTCCAGCACCCATTGTAGTAGAAAATCTCCAACTGGCCAGTATCAAGTAAATAATGTTGGCTGTGCCCTTGTGCCAGGAGAGCCTTGTCCCAAAAAAGCATGGACCAGGATGCTCTTTGAGCCTCCACCTTGCTAATCCCCGCGTCTCGCCCTTCAGGCCTTATGCCTTTCCCCTGGCAGCAAAAGGGAAGAGATCCCCCCCTCCCAGGAAGGATGCGCTCCCAATTGAAGTTTGGATAATGATTCACCCAGGCTGCAAATACATTTCCCTCAGCTGGGGGGAATCCCTCTTCCTCCAAAAGGCTTGGAGCCGGGGATATTTGGACCAGCCCAGGCTCACCTATTTCTCAGCTCCCCAAAAATCTGTAGAGCAAAGCGTGAGAGCTGTAGGAGGAACTGGCCAGGAGATGTTATTCCTTCCCGCTGGCTGTTGCCACATCAAGTCACATACTTGGTGGCGCTTTCCATTCTTTCGGTGGGAAGACCTTAAACCAGTTAGGTGGAGCTGCGCCCTCCTCTTTTTGGCCGCAACGCCGAGCCCCAGCAGCCGCGGCAGCCTAGGAAGGGGGTTTGAGTGTGCAGGTCCCGCGTGAGTGTCCTGTTTGTACAAGTCACCCTCTCTTGTGTAATGTTTTTCAGAGGGGCTTCTGAACAATGCCAGGGATACAAGTGTCACGGATACTCTACCACTGAATGGTAATCACGGCAACAGCTACAGCATCGCCAGCGGCGAGTACCTCAGCAACTGCGTGCAAATCCTTGACCGCGGGTACAACCACACCGAGAACGCCCTCGAGAAAAAGATCCTGAAGGAACTCACCTCCAACTACATCCCTTCCTACCTGAACAACCACGAGCGCTCCAGCGAGCAGAGCCGCAACCTGATGAACAAACTCGTCAACAGTGTGGGCGGCGGGAGCGAGGACGATGCCATCGTGCTGGATGACGCCACCTCCTTCACCCACGAGGAGAGCCTGGGCCTGGAGCTCATCCACGAGGAGTCGGACGCCCCGTTGCTGCCCCCCCGGGTGTACTCAGCGGACAACCACCAGCCCCACCTCTACAGCCGGCGGCGCATCCCGCAAGACAACAGCGAGAGCTTTTTCCCCTTGCTGACCAACGAGCACACGGACGACCTCCAGTCGCCCAACAGGGATTCTCTCTACACCAGTATGCCCGCGCTGGCCGGCATGCCCATGACGGAAAGCGTCACAGCCAGCACCCAGACCGACCCCCCGCCGGCCAAAAGCGGCGGCGGCGGCGGCGACGCCGACGATGTTTACTACAAAAGCATGCCCAACCGCGGCTCCAGGAACCACGTCCATCAGCTACACACTTACTACCAGCTAGGTCGAGGCAGCAGCGACGGTTTTATAGTCCCGCCAAACAAAGAGGGAACCCCCCCGGACGGCAATGCAAAAGGACCCGCTCACTTGGTCACTAGTCTATAGAAGATTCAGCAAAAATTAAGCAAAGAGACAACCAAGAGCCCCTCCGTAACGCTCGGTTTACTGTTCTGAGTTAATCCAAGCAGTGGTAATATTGTGTGTACTCCTAAATCTTCATGCTGTTCGAAAGGAAACTCTCGGACTTTTTTTACTGGAATTTTTAGGCCGGCCCGGAGAGGACAGTAACTGCTGCCCCCCTTCCCTTTCTCCCCCATCCTCCCTCCCTGCAGACAGACTTCATTATGTTAATGAAAGAGATAGATAACGGCACACTTCGTGGCCTTCTCAAGTTATGCCGTGTTTGTTTAAACAATCCTTGATGCTGTGTTGCTCTTAATACCGAGGACCTGATTTAAAAGGTGGGGATGGGGGGGTGGGGGGAACAAAACATACGAACAAACAAAAAAAAGCAAAATAAAGTAAAATAAAAGGCCAAAAACGTGCATTTGAAACTAGTAGCGATGATGCATCTAGGTGGGAGCGCTGCACAAAAACAAGCTAGCAAAACTCTTCCTTACCAATCGGGATCACGCCATGGGGTTTGGTCACTCACCACTCGGTTTCACCACAGCGCCCTCGGCTGCGGGAGCAAACCAAACAAAACAAAAAACCCAATTGAACGAGACGGAAGGGAATCCTAGAATTCAGTGCTAAAGGCATCTTTTACGTTTTGCTGTATTAACGGATGACTCAAACTAATGGCAGATAAAAGAGAAGCGAACAATTTCCATGTAATGTACAGATACTAGCATTGCACATATAGTCTGCTTTCTGTTCCTCCAGAACTTGCGTCCCTGTTAATGTAGTGGAAAAAAAAAAAAGAAAAAAAAAAAAATAAGGACTTTTTTCTGTTGTGCTGGTCTTGTAAGTTTGTCTACCAGTAGGAGCAAGGTTTTTCATAACTCCTCTCTTTTTTGTTGTTGTTGTTGTTTTCTTTTGCTAAATTTTCTTTGGCCTCTTCCCCTGCCCTTCCTCTCCGTCCTCCCCCATCCCGGTCAAAAATAAAACAGTCTCACTGGGCAAAAAGGCAAAACCGAAGATCACTTTCTAAGGAGCATTTTTAGGAACGCCGTCCCCGTTTCTTTTCAAGCAAGGGAGTCTTGTTTTTTTCTTTCCTCGCTGTATCTCTTCCTTCAGCCGGCGGATGGCCGGCAGACCTTTTGGCAGACTAGAGCAGGGCAAGCTTTCCCGTTGACGGGGCGATAACCCTGGGAGCGTCTTTTGGCAAGCAGCACCTCAGCCAGGCCGTAGAGTCCCATCCAGAAGCCGAGAGGTTTGGGTTTTTTTTTTTTAGAGCGGGGCTTTGGCAGGAAACGGTCATAGCCCTGGAGGAGCGCAGGGCCTTCCCGACTCCGGCTGGGCCCCGCTTTAGGCACTTGTACTGCAGTGGTTAAGAAGAAAATCGATTGACGCGTAGTGAGCTAAAAAGTACTTTGCGGTGATTTGAACAAAACAAACAAACAAACGAAAAGTCTTCTGTTCGTTATTTTTCTTAACAGGACATTTATTTATTTGACAGGATTTTTAAGTAACATAGGCTTTCCGGAGGTACATTAGCAGCACGGAGTATAATTTTTTCTTCTTCTTCTTTTTTTTTTTTTTCCTTCTTTTTTTCCTTTTATTTTTTTTTTTTAATTTATGATCCATTTTGTACGGTCTCAACAGTTGAATGACCTCATTACTAATATTTGTTGTAAAAGTGAAGCTTGTTTGCCAACCAATAAACAACTGATCACGATTTAGAAGATACTGTATGTATGTACTGTACGATTAATCTCTCTTTTCTTTTGTTGCTCTTGTTCCTCTCTCCGTTACTGTCTTCAGTACGAGTCTCCACTCCTTTAAGGCATGGGCGAGCAATGCCAAAGAAAGGAGGCCCAAGCTGAGCAGTTTAAGCACAAGGTTACGCAGCCGCGGCTGACTAGAGGTATCGGGCGCTAGTGGTACTTGTTTAGGGGCCACAACAACGCCGGCCCATGTTTTTCTGCAGGTGGTTCTAGGTCTGTTTTTGTGCCTACTGTATAAACTAGCCGACGACACGCGGATGGTTTGAGTATAGTATTTCATGTGTCGTACCTTTTAATCATTGTAACGGTTTCTTTTTGATTTTTAATTTTTAATTTTTCTTTTTTCTTTTTTCTTTCAATTTTGGTTCTTCTGAGATTAAAAACTGCTGGTAGCATGTCAAAGAGTAAAACAAGTCCCCGTTAGGCCTCCTCGGTCTTTGTTTGCTGTCTCTTTATTTTCTTGCAAAGCGCCATCACCGCCCTCGGCCACGTTGCCCTTCCCATCCCGTTGCCTTTGGCCTGCCCACGCTGGCGCTTTGCTGGCTTTCCTCCAGCCTCCCCCTTCACATCCCTTGGGAGCATTTGGGATATAGAAATCCACAAAATAGAATAGAGAGGTTGACAGCAACAATCATCACCTCTGGACACGCTCGGTGCCGATTTTTCGGTACATGCTTTTCCATGAAGCCCTCCCATGCCTTGGGCTTTGGGGCCTGGTGCTGCCTCCATCCAAGCTGTCCCCAACCAATTCCCGTCAAGCTCAGTAAAAGCCAAAAGATTTGGAGCAGATGGGTTCATGTCCATCTTAGATGAGCTGTTCCCAGTGCTGGAGGATAAATGCAGCAGCGAGCGGCTCCGCTCCATCCTGGGGACGTCACGGGGGGCGATGCTGCTCGGCACTGCTCGGTGAGGGAGACCCAGGGGGTGGTGGTATTTGGTGGTGGTTGCTATCTACAGAAGAGCAGTCCTTCCTACAGCTCAGTGCTCAGGCCAAAACATCTTGGGTAGGAAACCTTTCTGATTGCAGCTTCTTGGGTCTAGGTTTCAGCAAGGGAGCTTTTCCCATCAAGAGACTGGGAATCACTCGGCTTTGTAGAAAAGCAACTGCTGTTCAGCTGGGTTGTGCTCTTGCTCTTGATGCTGCCTCTTGTTTCATTTTAATTTCCAGCAGCGATGGAGCTGGGCAGCACATGGTAGACTTATGCATGCAGGTAAAGCAAGCATTTAGTGGTCATAGTGACCCATGTAGCAGCCCAAAAAAGGCTGCCAAAGCTTTACATACTTGAAGTACCTTTAATTGGGAGAAAGTAAAAACTCTTTTAATGCATTAGACTAAAAGAAAAAAGTAGTTTGCCAAGGATGTGGTGGGATTAAATTCAAGCAGAGGGTGAGACACACATAGCAAATGTAGTCATGATAAAATGGGAAGCGGGTGGTCAACATTTAATTTACCAGTGTGCCTGAAACTCTGCAAGAGTGCAAATCAGTGGTGGATTTGCTATGGGATGATTGTGTCTTACTAAAAAGTCTTTGACTTTTACTCGTAATGGTCATTTCCCCCCAGTCTGTCTGTGTATTTGGGATTTATCAGTGGACAGGGGGTGCTTTCCCCCTCTTCTCCATCCCTCCTCACTGGAGCTTCTCTCCTCCAGCCAACTATGCCTATTAGTGCTTTGATTGCAAAAGCCGCTGTTTATTTTCAAGCTGATTATTTCCATCCCCAGGCTCTTCTGGCACCAAAGGATTCACTGTTGGCTCTTCTTATAGCTTTGGAAACAGCTGACTCACGAAACAGAGGGGAAATACATATTATTAATTACATTAAGCCCAAAAATGCTTTAAGACTGTCATTTAGTTGAGGGGGCAGCAGGATGGGATTTATGTTTGTCCTTTTTTTCCCCTTGCAAACAGGCTCTTGTGTCTGATAGCTGATCATGGGCATGGTGAAGGTTTCTGCTTGTTGATACGTAGCTCGGTAGATACAAGTCTTATGCGATTGGCAACGTAGCGGTGTCTTCTGTGCCGACTGCATCATGTGAAACTCAAGTCAGTGTCAAGTCCTTGGTGCCTAGAATGTTCTTGGGGTAGGAAGGAGAGCAACAAAACTTCTAAGGCATTTCTTAATGCTGAGCCAAAGCAGGGATATGAGAAAATGAACAGCTTGATGAAGAGGCAGTAGTGATTATGGTATTAAATCCATGCCTATGCTTGAGGCACACAACTTTGCAAGCTGGGTTGCAGGGGATAATCAGCCCTGTACTGGAGGGATCTTGGTTTTTTAGAGTTTAACAACAACAAAAAAAAAGAAATTAAAAACCCAGCAGATTTGCCTTACAGGGAGAAGATTAAAGCTTCATCGTTCAACTGCATTAAGTAAGCATCCTGCTTTCAATGAAAACCAAACAGAATAGAGGCAAATAGGCAGTGCTTGGTCTGATGAGAACATCACCCTGATACATAGACCCCTCCTTTCTGAAACATGGGACAGCCTTTGGGAAGCACGGGTTGCCGAGCATGTTTGGAGTGAGGATTTTCAGTGTCAATCCCTAGCTTGAGGTGCCCTTCTTTCAGAAACCCTTGCAAGTGGGAAGAAGGGGATGGAGAAGCATGTTATCCTGGAAAGCAACTTGGGATGCTTTGCAAGTCATGAACCCTTTTTTTTTTTTAATTTATTCCTTCTAATTTGGGAAGCACTGGGGTTATTTTTCTGCTGTCATCCAATTGCAGACTGCCCCATAACAAGCAGTTACACCAGTTTAGTGGGCAATTGCTGCATTTACTACTGCTTCATTACATTTTGGATCTGCTTTGCCTGCCCTCTTTCTGTAAGAGCCATCAGAGACTGCAAAGGTCTCCCTGAAACATGTGAGGAGAGATGCAAAGGGAAAGCCATGCCAAGGAAGACTACATAGGATTGATGGGGATGGGCTCTATTCATCACAGCTTTGGAGGCACTGCAGGGGCAAAATTACTTATGGTACTGCTCCTTGCTGCTTGTTGATTGCATTTAATTCCCTAAAACCTGTCTGTTAACCAACTTTTTTCCTTCCTCCCTTGCCCCCAGGTAATGAGCAGTGCAGTGTTTCAGAGGACTGGGGCGAAACGGTAGTGGTGG